CCATCCTGTTCCACTCAAGACTTATGTCAGGTTGAAAGATTATTTTTTCCTTTGTCTCCTCGCAAAGGCAGATTGAGCAGTTCCCAAACTGCTCCAATTCCTCCATCCCGACCCCTGTTTGGCCGCCGCAGCTGCCCCCATGCTGCGACTTCTGAATACATCTTTTAATCCATCTTCCAGCCTCCAGCCTGGCAACAATGCTCCTTTCAATGCCCACCAGCAGCCACCCAGCCCGGCCGCTCTCCAGCCCTGGAACATCCCCACCAGCTCCCACAAAGCCCGGGATTTACCAGCCGGGAGCCGGCCCCACGCTCCCCGCCGGAGTTCTCCGTGCCTGTGGATTTGGACACATGCTCCGGCGGTGAATGTTCCCAGGCTCCAGGCCAGCCCTGCTGGGATAACTCATCTCCCTGCGGCTCCCGGCAGAGCCACCGCGGAACGGGGCCGAGCCCTCCGCGGCCGCCCCAGCGCAGCCCCGGCCCCGCGGCGGCCGCTGCCCCTCGGCGCTGCCCGCAGAGCCGCCTGTCCCGCAGCGCCCCCGGCCCTACCAGAGCGCGATGCGGCTCTTGGGGTAGCTGAGCCTCTCGATGCAGCCCAGGACGTGCGGCAGCGTGTGCGCGGCGTTGCGGGCGATGATGGCGAGCAGCACGGTGGGCTGCAGCAGCGCCGACTCGGGCAGCGCGGGCTGCTCGGGCCCCGGCGGCTCGGGCGGCTCGGGCGGCTCGGGGGCGGCCCCGAGCAGCGGCGGCAGCAGCAGCAGCAGCAGCGGCGCGCCCGCAGCCATGCTGGGCGAGGGGCAGCCGCGGAGCCGCCGGCAGGCAGAGCGGGCTCCAGCCCGGGGAACGCGGGAGGAGGCGGAGAGGCGGGAGGACGGAGAAGGGGAAGGAGGAGCCGAGCGGCGCCGAGCCCCGGCTGCCCGCCCCGGCCCCGCCCGCAGCCCGCGCTGCCCCGCCGCTCCGGGTGCCGCCCGCTGCCAGCCCCGAGCCCCGCCGGCTGCGGGCAGCGCCGCTGCTCGGCGCCCGCGGTAAAAGCTGCGAGCCTCCCGTTTCTCCAGCCGAGTTCTGGGCTTTAAAGAGGCTTTCTCTAGTTGCTGCTAGAGCTGAGATGTCCCTTCTCGAGGCTTAAGTGAAGATCTCGCCCTCATCCTTCCCACACAGGTAGGGAATTAAAGTAACTTTGAGCTGTCGTATCAGGATGTTTTGGCAAACATCCGCGGGGTGTCCGTACGAAGCAGCCGCACACCCCACGCCCGTCCCACGCTGCAGGAGGGATGCGCTGTTGTAGCTCAAGCATAGCTGAAAGATTAATATCGTAGAGTCACAGAAAGGCTTGGGCTGGAAGGGACCTTAAGGACAATCTCATTCCAGCCCCCTGCCATGGGCAGGGACACCTTCCACTGTCCCAGGTTGCTCCAAGCCCCATCCAAGCTGACCTTGGACACTTCAGGGATGGGGCAGCCACAGCCTCTCCGGACAAACTGTGCCAGGGTCTCACCGCCTTCGCAGGGAAGAAATTCTTCCTAATATCTCATCTAAATGTATTCTCTGTCAGTTTAAGGATGTTCCCCTTACATCCTATCACTATCTGCCCATTTAAAAAGTCACTCTCCCTCTTTTTTATAAGCGCCTCTCACATACTGGAAGGGACTTAAAGGTCTGCCTGGTGTCTTCTCCTCTCCTGGCTGAACAACCCCCGCTTTCTTAGCATCTCTTCTCTGAAGACACGAAATACAAGGAAGATTTTCCCTGTACTTCATTGACTTACCCACCATGGAAATGTTCCCGTGAATAGAACAATGGCAATTTAGCATAAAAATATATAAAACATATTCCAGCAATTAAAATTATTGGGTCACGATCTTAAAAGGGGCATAGTAATCATAGTTCTCTTAGAAGTTAATAGGATTTGGGCATGCTAGACCCTTTTCAAGATGAAATCTCTAATTAACTCCAAGGACACCATCACAGCATATTTGGGTTTACTGTGGGTAGGAAGTTTCTCCAAGGTGGGCAGACCCACTTTGAGCAGGTGCTACTGTTGGCTGTGTGCTTGAAACACTTAAAAAGGAGGAAACCTTTAGCAATCAAACAATTGTTTAATTATTCATAATCTCATTGTGAATAGTTTGCATCCAGGTAGTATGTATATATAAATATACACACATACATGATATAGAGAGAGTTAATGTTTGTTCCTCTTTGCTTGTAGAACCTAATTTATCACACACGCCAAATTACATTGTCTCAGTTTCCTGATCAGATGACTTCCCAAAAAGGATCAATCTAGGAAGCTTCAATAAAGAATCTCCAGGGGTCATAGAATCATCTGCAGTAAAATTTGTGCCCATCGTCCTGAACAATTACTGCAGATGTGCTCCTCCTGTTTGCCCTTTGCGATGCCTTTATAATTGTCCTTCTAGAATGATACATTAATGAGGCTTTTCTGTGATGGTTAGTTTGCCACATGTTGCTTTTATGCTTGGATTCATTAACCAAATAGAAGGAGCAGCTTTGCAGCCTGGGTGAGGTGATTAGAGTTTCACAGGAACCAGCCCAATCCACACGCCCGGAATTCTGCTGCTGCCCACGGACCGCTCACTTTTGGAAGGTGGGGACTAGCACTGCCAAATGTACTTGATGTGGAAGGCTGGAAGCTGGCATTTCCCATCCACTGGACATTCAACTGGGTCACAATCCTGATTTTAGGATGTGTCAGCAGAAATAAGCCCCTCCTCTGCATGCCTTTGCCAGAACTCTGAGTGTGCCTTTACCCTTTGCTGCTCTTATGTCCTCAGTGAAATCTAAACTACTTTCAGCTCTTTTCAGACTCCTCTCTTCTTTTTATTTTGTGAGTAGCATCAGAGCCATAACAATTTGCTGGGGGCAAATGAAAAGAATCCAGCAGCATCCCAAAGCCAGTGATTCACTCTCCAAAGTGACGTTCCCTCGCTCACACAACTCCCTGTGCTGGCTGGCTGCCGTGGACCACAAAAGAGTGAGAGCAGCAGAAGCCTGAAACATGATATTGTTCTTCCATGCAGAAGAGAAAGAAGTCAGCTCAGCTTCATCTCTCACTCCCAGTCACACACAGCTGGGCAAAGTTTGGAGAGCTCAGGTAAACAGTTACCTGGCAATTTGTGTCATTCCAACACCTATAAATGTGTATTGACTTCATGTCCACGTACAAAGAAATCTGTACTCATTCTGACTTCTTTATTGGTGGCCAAAATTGTATCCTGTGGGGTTTTTTTTAAGCCCAGACTCCATCCTGCTGTGACAAGACAATGAGCCACTCTTTGAGGGAGAAATGGCTTTTTGCAGATGTCCCACAGAAATCAATTTAAGCCATTTGTTTCAGCCTCCTCTAAATATCTACACCAAACAAGGAGATTCCAACTATGACAACTGTCTCTGGCAGAGGCATAGTCCCTCGGTTTGGCAGGTGACAAATTCTCTCTGAGGCAGATTTCTTCTAAATTGTTTCCCACATTGAGGAAATCAGAGGTTCCATCCTGCTGATGTAAATTGACTCATCTATAGATTGATGTGGATCCATCTCCTTTCACTTGCTTCTTCACCTCTAAGAACTGAAATCCATCCAATTATTTTCCCAGCAGTAGAGTGAACCACTGTTGCCAGCTCTTCCATTAAAGTCTTGGAGACTGGATTTTTTTATCCCATCTAACTATCTATTCTGTGCCCAGGGAACTGAAGTGCTGGCTAACACCATACTTTTTAAGCAGCCAGAATGGCTGCTCCTTTTACCACAAAATTCCTTGAATTAGATTGGCCCAAATATGACTTCCTGTGCCTGCAAACCACGTACAATTGATGTGTTACATACATATGGACCAATTTTCACTGATGCTTTATTAGAGAATTGTGGGAACTCAAAATGTCTCTCAGACATTTTTAGAGGTTCCAGGCCTTGGTCAGAAGCATTCTAGACCCTGGCAGACAGCTGAAAAACAACTGTGATTTTGAGTTTGAGCCATGGAATGAATTTCCAACTTTGGAGGTGGAACAAGCAATCACAAAAGGTTAGATAGTATAGTATAAGTAGTTACGAAGTAGAGGGGAATTTTTTTTAGTACTGTATAGGGGGGTTTTAACACATGTACAGGGGGGTTTTCACTTTGTACATGGGGGTCAGAAGTTCTAAGATGGAGGAAAGTGGGCTGAACCCATCCTTCTTCCTTCTTCTTCCTTACCTCCATGTTCTTGGTGATGTTGGCACTCACAGATTGGTTTAGAGTAGAAAAACACTTGGTAACGTAGGTAGTAGGTATTGGGGAATAATTGTAAACATGTTATACGTAATATATCTTATAAAAGATAGCAGCAACCCTGGGCGGAGAGAGAGATGAAGAAGACAGCAGATAGAGAGGATGTCAGGGTGTGTGTGTGCCTCTACCCAGGCCGCTGATCAAATAGCCGCAGTCCAAGAACATAATCTGTTAGATAACTAGCAATAAACTGCCTTGAGACCGAACAGCTAAGCCTGCGGAGTTTTTCTTTGGAAGCACAGGTTGGAGGAGGAATTTCACCACCACATGAGGACCCAAAGCAAGGCCGGGGTTCTCACAGAGAATAGCCACTGTTTAAAATTTATCAGAAGAGTCACCGAGGCAGATGGTGATGATAAGCCAGAGCTGGGACACTTGGCATTAGGCAAAGTCAGAGATATTTCTAGTAAAGCAGTCCAAAGTGCTTTTAATGGCAATACCTTGAAGGCATGTCCCTTATGCAGTCTAGCAAAGCTCTGGACATTGCAGGTTGGTAATGCTTTGGAGCTTTTGGGAGAAGGGACCTTGAAAGGAATATATGTGTCTATACACACAAATATTATATACATATGTTTAATTTGAAGGGTTCAAAGCGGCGCCTTTGGCCGCGGCGGGTGGCGGGGCGGGGAGGTGGGAACGGAGCGGAGGCGGAACGGTCGGGGCGGCGCGGCGGTTTCCGGGGAGCGCAGCTGCGCGGCGCCGCCCGGAGTGAAGCCGCGGTGCACACGGGCGGGCGAGCATGGCGGCGGCGGCCGGGCCGGGCGGGAGCGGCGTTTGCCCGGCCCCGGGGGGCACCGATCCGGGCCAGGGCTCCTCCGCCGCCGGGAGGGGCCCGAGGGCACAGGGCAGCTGGTCGGGGGCGGCTGGCGGCAATTGGATCACGGCTCACCCCACGGTAGGCCGGCGCGGGGTCCCTCGGGGGTGCCGCTCCCCCGCCCGGCCCTGCAGGATTCTCCCCTCGCGGCTCTCGAGGTGCTCTCCCCAGGAGGGCCCTGCGGGGAGATGCCCATATAATCTGTTATATTGGGTTTGTCGAGGGGGGCTCGGCCCGTGGAGTATTTGGGGAATGCTACTGCCAGCAGGGGCGGAGGTTATAAACCATGGGATCCCAGCTGGGAAATGTAAATACCTTAAACTTCGACTCCATTTTTTACCACACCGAAAACATGGAGGTGTTTAATTTGGCCATCATCTTATGTTGATGTGTTGCAGCAGAAATGGGTAGAATTATTTACCCAACATGGGTAAAATTCTACAAAGCTAGAGCTGTTCCAGAAATAGTGGTGACTCCTCTTGTGTTTGTTTATTCTGCTTACTTTTTTTATCACCAACATTCCTCTTTGGGTCTCAGTTCACAGAAATGATGTCACTCGATGTATCTGACAGCACTCAAGTCTACGCTGCCTTTTTGGTATACCTGGACCTCTTGGAAGGTAAGTGGGGGCAGTGACTGGATCCCAATGCCCTTAGGAGCTGTTAAATTCATTGTTTGCACTGGGACAGGACCTCTCCTTCCAAAGTCCTTGGTGCCACTTTTGAGACCTTTTGTGCTTCAGGTTTCTGTCCTCTGCCTCCCTGGAGCCTGTGCAAAGATGAGGGCCCCTTTCATCCAGCACTTCCAGGTGCAGGGTCAGGGAAAAGGCAGTCAGCATGGAAAGAAAAGCAAAAGAGGAGTAGGGGGAGGAAAGGAATGTAGGAAGGTGAAGTGGCAAATTCACTGGTTGAGCTTTTAATAGTCCTCACTTGTAGATTAAAGTGAAGTTCCTCAATCACTGTGTTTCACTAAAGTCACCATTTAGCACATGGCTGCTGTGTGCTGGCCTGTTTTCTGGAAAGGGCAGTGGTTCCTCTAGCAAAAAAGATCATTTGCAAGTGTGGTCGCAATAACTAATAACCATTGTAGTAATTGTGTAACAATATAGTAATTTATACAATAAATTGTAGGTGTTGTGCTCAGGGCCATGGCTTGGTGGAGGATCTGGCAGTGTCAGGTCACTGGTGGGACTCCATGATCTTGGAAAGCTTTTCTGGCCAAAATGGTCCTGTGAAATCCAGTGTAGTCTGCTGGTGTCTGCTCACAGTGGAGCAGGGTTATGTGATATATAAACTTCTGCCTGGCTTCTTCCAAGTTGGCTTTATTGAAAAGGGGCTGTGAGTAGGCAGCCAGCCAGCCTAAGAAAAATATTTCAGTTTTGCTTGGAGACTGGTGTTTCTCAAGGTCAGGGATGGGAGGGATTTTACAGTCCAGAAATTACTGCGTCTGTTGCTGTTACAACTCTGAAGGAAATGCCTTAATAGACTTTAAAAGAAGATTTTTGTAGTTGAGCAGCAAAAGCTTCATCCTTATCCCTTCAGCAGGAGGTGAGAACTGTGTATGATCATTAACCATGCTTTTAGCACCTGCTGCTTCACAGATCAGGGTGCTGAGTCAGATGACTAAAGCTGTGTGGTTTTATCTTCTTTTTGCCTTTTGCAGAGCAGTTTTGTCAGACAGCTCACTTCACCACCCATCAGTGCAGCTCTGGAGCCAGCAGGCTGCTCCTGCTCCTTGGGTTTCTTTAGCAGGATTGCTTCTCAGGAGGGGAGTTTGGCAGATGAATGGAGTTTTCTGTGAAGAAAGGGAGGGAAAACAAAACCTTAGATGTTAACTTAGATACTGCATTTGTTATTTGACTGATTAAAACGTGTGTTTTGTGTTCTGCCCCTCTCATCCCCAACGGACCTTTCCAGGGAGGAACTGGCATGAGGTGCAGCCGGTGGGCGTGGCAGAGCTGCAGCTGGTGTGTTTGCATGCCCGGGCCAGAGAGCAGGAGGGGCTCCAGGTGATGGTGCCAGTGCCTGCACACATCCTGATCAGCCACGACAGGTGAGGTGTGCTCAGCGCTTGTCTCGGCTTCCCACTGACAGAAAATGGAGCACAGCAACATTTTACAGGCTGGTGATGGCTTGGTCAAGAGGGGAAGGAGGAGCAAATAGAGGAATATCAGAGGAAAGCAGCCTCTCAGCCCATAAGCAGAGTTATTTTGGGTTCTGCAGACACACAGGCAGCTTGGAACATTAAGGAGACCTCAGCTTTGCATCAGTCTCTGCCTCGCCCAGTCTGGAAGTGGTTCTTGGAGGTCAAGCAGAAACTGATGCCCACTGATAAACACTTCCTGTTGTCTGGAGTTGCATATGTGCTAGGAGATAACAGTGGACACCAAAGTATGTGTTTGAGAGACAAGGTTAGAACACAAGGCCTTCACAGCTTATGTTTTGAACATTCCTGTGCTGATTTTGTACCCCTGGAAATGTACGATGCTTTCTGAGCTGCTGGACTTGAAAGGACCTAAGAGGAAAGAAATCCTCTTGGAGCTGCCTAAGAATCAGCTTTTTTATTATCAGATTTGTGGATAAGCCTTGTATGGTTTGCTTTGCTTTTGTTTTCAAACTATAATTTGGTTACTTTGAACAGGAAACTCCTCTCACTTTACATCTAGAGTCTCATGTGCCTGTGATTTTTGACTTGATTTCCTCACACATGCAAGAGCAATTCTTCGAGCAGAAGACAGCACAGCCATGAATTTGTTACATTACAGATATTTACAGCCTTGAACACTTCCACTTCAGTAGTTTTACAGTCTCTTTTAACTGGCCCCTAGAGCAGCCTCAGACACACGGTCTGATTTACTCTCTGATAAAGGCTGCCTTCTATGGATGGTATTTGCCATGATGACTCTGAAGACCTGAACTATTTCAGAGGCATCACATGGTTGTACATTTTTCAGTTTCTTCTGTTCCCACTCCTGCTAGGAGCTGGCTCGGGCTGGCTTTACAAATCTTGCTGTTTTTGCTGCTTCCTCTTGCTCTGTGGGCAGCAGCCTGACACAGTGGTAGGTGGCTAATTAATTGCACTTATTAGATGTGTGTGTGCACTCTAGGAGCGATGTTTCTGCTTTTCATTTTGGGTTTTAGAAGTGACAGATCTTGCTAGCAGACTTTCACCATAATTTTACTGTTTGTTGGGTGAGGGGGAAGAAAATTACTTACTAGATATTGATGGGGTTCAGTACTGTGTTTGTGCTGAAAAAGATACTATATTTGCAAGTATTGGTCAATTACTCCTGGGAGCTTGCTGATGTGAACTCCACAGAAGAGGAAAGCTGCTGAGAGGCCTTGCAGGGTGAAGTGCTGAGTGTCATTCAGCCTGTCTGCAAGCAGGAGATGTGTGTGAATGAAAGGGACACACTGCAGCTCTCAGCTCACACAATATTTTAGGTGGAAGTAGAAGGCAGCCAGTGAGCATGTGGGATCTTTGAGGAATTCCACCTACAAGCTGAGCTGTTGTGCTTGGTTAATACAGTGTGTTTCCACCTGGGCTGAAAACTTGGATTCCTGGCATTGGGTAAGTATTAGGAGTATGTTCTGATTGACTTTTAATGACAGATATTCCAGTGCATGCATGCCCTATCTTATTCTGTGTCATTGGAGCTTTTCACAGGGAGCCTCTGCACTTGTTTGTTCTGTGGTGATGCTGTTTGCTCTGCTCCTGGCACCAGAATGTCTGGAATCTAGTACTGGAAGGATGTGTGTGTGGAGAGGCAGAAAGTGAATGCATCACATTGATTAAAAGTACAGTTTGTAACCAGAGTTTGCTGCAGAGCAATGACACAGAGTGTGCTGTCACTAAAATGAGCTGGATCCCAGGCTGCAGTGCCAGCTGTGTCCATAGAGGCCTGTATGTGTTCAATAGCCAGGATGTTGTAAGGCTGGGAGGTTGTATTTGTGTACAACACTTGTATTTGTGATATTGGAGGTGTATCTGCATTTTGTTCAAAGCAGCACTGTGTGTTTTTGTGTTACCTGCTAAAAGCAGGGGAGGAGGTATGAGTACAAGTGAATGTAGCTCACTTAGTGTTGAAAATAAGCACTTGGAGGGATTTGGGAAGATGAAAATGTTCTGTCTCTATTCTGGGCCTGGAATTGTGCTAACTGCAAAAGAAGCCAGTAACAGCAGCATTTATGGGCAGCACTTGCTTGTTTAGCCAGTAGGGTTTGGAAGTGACACCTTGAAATCAGACTTCATCTTCCTTCTGCTCTGTGTTTTTCTTATTGGTAGAATAAAGAAAGTTGTTCACTGGAAAAAAATAGATTTTAGTACTACGTATGTGCTAAAAAAGATCTCACATTTTGCCAGTATTAGTCACTCTTGTGGGCTTGGTCTTTCAGAGAAATGTAGTGATGGTTCCCTGCTTGAAATCCATGTCAGCCAAGCTCTGCCTTCCCTGGTGTCTCATGAAGTTCCCAACTTGGCTAAGTGTGTCCTTAAATGGCCACAGGAAAGTTGCTGTGGAAATTACCAGCAGGACACCTAGGCAAATGACAAATATGAGTGCCCTACAAAAAATAAAATCTATTCAATGTTTTTTAGCCAATTACAAGATTTCATCCTGTCTAGTTTGAGCATGACAGTTAAGTGCTGAAGGCAAAAGCTGTTCTACTTCCTAAGCTCACTGTCCACTTCTGCAGAGCTGGGTGGAAGCTGCTTGTCCAGCTGTGGCGGGGTAGGGCTACACAGGAACCCAATAAATTAGAGAATTATTGTCTGTGGAGCAAAGAGTCTTGAGAAGTGGCTTTGTGCTCTGTGTATTCTTCAGATGAAGATGGCTGAATCTTCTGTGAGCGAAGCCCTGCGGAATACGATGCAATTCCTGTCTGTCTTGGCCTGCTGTGACCCACACACAGCTGGCTGAGGCTTGGAGAGCCTCTGAATTCAGCAGGGACTGAAGGAGTTTGCAGGTGCACAGGCTGGGGTGTGTTTGCTGCTCACCACAACACCTCAGTGCATGCCAAGTACCTCGTTGTCAGTGCATTCCACAACTGTGGCTCCCCACTGTGGAGGAAGCAGTGAATCCTGGGAGTGCTGCTTCACAGCTGGCAGAAATAACTTGCAGAAACCAAGCTCAGCAAATCAGGAGAGCTCACAGCGTTGGCAGCTGGATTTTTAGGTAGCCTGGAAGCCTTGAGCCTTCAGGGACCAGGGAGTTAGGTCCCAGATCTAATAGAATTGGGCACTGTTTGTCCTAGACGAATAACTCTGTCTAAGCAGAATGTTGCAGATAAACTGTCAGATAAAATGACATGTCACTGCTCTGTTTGTATTTTATGTACAAGTGTTGTAAATGAAGGATGAAGTTGCCTTAGGTCATGAAGACCTGTGAAGTTGGGAAAGGCTTATTCTGTTAAAATGCTAACTTACTTAAGAAGAAAGCAATACATAAATGTTTTGTTTTAAAGCTGATAATCATCCTGAGAAGGAAATATGAGGACTGGAATTTACTGTCTTCAAAGTCTGTAGACTTTGAAATAAATCTTGCTATAAACTGAAAAATCCTGTTATTTTAAAGCACTGGAAGTGTGACATGCATCTTGCATCTTCTTCACAGTTTTGTCAGTAATTCTCTTGCTAAAAGCATAATTTACTCATGCAGTAAGTCACACATTGAAAATATAATTGGTGGCTCCTAAAAGTATGCTCTTTATTAGTATTTTTATTTAAATTTAAATTTATTTTTAAATTTTTATTTAAATTTAATATTTTAAATAAGACTGCAGCTCCCACAGCAGAGTGGGTTATGCAGTACTGTGGTTGAACATCCAGTAGTAAATGTGTCCTACTGAACTTTGATTCCTCACATTTGTGTGGTTTCTCTTGTTTTCTCCTTGAACTTCCATGGGAAAAGATCTTTATATTCCTCGGGGCTTCAATTCCTTCTCCTGACCAGTGTGGCATGTGCTGTTTTATTTGCATTTTTTTCCTTTCCATTACAAAAACTGAATTTCTTCTAGCATTCCCTGTTTATGTGTTTTGGGAACAAATCCCAAGGAACAGCGGTGTGCATTTACACCTTCTCCCAGTCCCTTGTGCTCCTTCCCACATATTTCAAGGCACTGGGTTAATGCTGCTGCCTGCCCTGCAGCAGGGTCTGGAGCAGCATTCCTGATGTGCTAAAGTTTGCACACCAGTGCTGGCTAAATCCATGGAATTGTGCTCTCTGGGAGGTTCCTGGTGCTGGCCCAGGCTGGGACAATGGCACGCTCCAGTGCCTGGGGTAATGATCTCTGCAGTGGCACAGAGAACAACTTGTGTGCACTCTGCAGCCCTGCCTGGCCAGCAGGGGAGGGAGCTGCTCAGGCTGGCCAAGCCTGCAAGGAATTATTCATCCAAGTATAAAGGGCAGATTGAAAGCCTTTGGCTTTTATGGGATGGAAGGCAGTAGTTCCATTTCAGCTCAATGGAGCTCTATGCAACCTCCATAAAACTGCTCTGAGCTTGCAGAGGGATGCTGCTTCTCAGAGGCATTGCATGGGATGTGTCTCTGAAATGCTCTTTTGTTCATCACAGAACTTGCTGCTTGAATTCTTTATGATTCTGCCCTTGGTTGTTTCTTGCAGAGTCAGTTGAAACCTCAGGGTCACCAGCTGTACACCTGGTTCTTCCTCCCAGAGGAAAGGGCAGTGTTATTTTGTTAGGAGCAGATACTGGGAAACACAGCACAGATTTCTGATGGGTGTTGTGGGCCTACGTAGTGCAAAATTAAGATGGGGAAAGGATGCATTTCTAATACACTTTACATTAGAAAAAGGGCTCAGAAAAGGCTTCCTGGTTATCTACAGGGTGCTGGGGAATGTTGGTGGTCAAGGCTGTTGGTATCTGCCAGACTGCTGGATGCACTGAATTCCTGTGTTCCACTGATGTTTGACGCTTTCAGAAACATTAAATCCACTTTTATGTAAGCAAATTCATCTTTATAGTTGTCATCACCTGTATGGTGTAGCAGATTGTACTGGTCACTTATTGGTAGCCATTAACTGGGTAATTTAAATGAGCTGGCTCTGTTGGGTAGTGTTAGCACATGGGCTTCTTGCCTAGGACTTTATTTCCATCATTGACTGCAGCTGCTTGTGAGATGGGCAGCCTTGAAATAAAGGGTTCTTGCCTGATTTAGGATGTCCAATGTGCATTCTTTGAGTTTCAGAAGACCAACAAGGCTTCATGCTTTCTTTATTCTTCCATAGGCAGCATTAGATGCATTAAAAATATTAAAAAAGCTGTACCTTTCCTGCAGTATTTCATCTTCCTGCTTGTGGCAGGCAGCAAGCACAGTAAAATCAGAGGTTCCATGGCTCCTTTGCTCAATTGCTCCTGGTGCAGAGGAACGTTGTGATCAGGCTGGACACAGAGGCTGCTGGGGATGCCTTCAGGGGAGGAGAGCAAGGGATGACGTCTGAAACAGACTTCCTGAATTCCAAAGCTTATCCCTTTAAATGATAGCCTCTCACTGCTTTGCAGATGTGCTGCAGTGCACTGTGGCTACTGTGGTATGCATGAATGAGAGCCCTTGTCTTGGGGCTGCCTGTGTGGAGGGAGAAGGGAAGGGGAAAAGAGTGCATTTGCAGTTGTCATTCTTCATCTCTGGACAGCAGAGTTAGCAGATCATCCTGATGCAATGGCATGTCTTGGTGGTCCTTACATAAATCCTGGAACTCTTGTCTCCTGAAAAGGAAGAAGAAATGTCATTAATCTGTTGTCAGGACCTGGCTGCTTTTAGGATCATGGGGCATCTTCAAAGTCCTAGTTGCTGAATAGGGGGAAATAAAGTCTCAGGTGTTTGTGCTTGGCAGTATAAGAAGAAATCGTGAGTATCAGAAATGTAGATGTAAGGCCTCACTGTTCCATCCCTCCTCCTAATAGACTATGAGGAAAACCAGTGACAGGTATTAAAGAAAACAGGAAGGAGCTTCTGCCCTGGTTGACAGGTGAATCCAGGCCTCTGCCTGAGTCTGCTCTCAGATACATCATCCACACTCAACACAAGTTTGGTTTCTTCGGCTCCCAAAATATCTCTCCTGGGTAGCTGTGCCCTTTAATTTGGCATTTTATCATTAATTCTATATTTCATTCAGGAGAAAGAGATCAATGTCCCCTGCTTCATGGCTCATTCTTTCCTCACAGGGTCTCTGCCAGCAGTCTGCCAGCTTGGAGCTTTCTCCAGACATTTGGCTGCTGAGTGTGGGCAGGCCCTGGCACAGCTGCCCAGTGAAGCTATGGCTGCCCCATCCCTGGAAGTGTCCAAGGCCAGGTTGGATGGGGCTTGGTGCAAACTGGGATAATGGAAATGACCCTGCCCATGGATGGAGCTTTGAGGTTCCCTCCAAACCAAATTATTTCATGATTCTGCGTGTGGCAATTGCATTTTTACTCTTTGCATGTATCAGAAGGAGATCTGTAATCTTTCCCCAGGCTCTTGTCCCCTGCCAGGGCTTTGGCAGGACTTTTTGGTGCTGGGGGTTCCTCTGCACAGGGGCTGGAAATGGCAGGAGCCAGAGGTTCTGAGCACAGAGTAAGTTACCTGCCAATTCAACCTGCATCCAGAGCCTGCTGAGGTGCCAGTGAGCACAGGAGCAGATGCCCCATTACCTGAAGGAGTCTCTTGCAGTGTCTTTCCTTTGCCAGTGGCCAGCACAGTCTCTCCCACTCTTTTTGTTGTGTTGTTAGGAAATGTGCTGATGTGGGAGGGCTAGCATAGTGCTTTTCCCAGCCGTCTCTCTCTGTTGCATGAAGTAAATGGGTTGTGTTGCCTTGCTGTGTGCCTGGGCCAGTGGTGCAGGCAGGAGGAGAGGCCCTCCTGAATTTACCAGGCTAGATTATGCACAGCTCAGAACACAGATGGATCCTTAAGAAGGTCATGGGCTTAACAGCGAGGCTTTCCAGGCTGCTGCTCATTCTCTGCCACATTCCATTTGGCTTTTATTAGAGGATCAAAGGGGTTCTGAGGAAAGATGGTGATTGAAGTCTGAAAGCTGCTGCCTTTAGAGACAGCTCTGTTTCCATCTGCAGTGCCTGGCCTCAGAGCTGCCTGTGCTCTGCAGGGTGCAGGAAGCCAGGACTGGTTTATCCTGGTGCACAGCTGAACTCCCCCTGGAATGTAACCTGTCCCAGCAATCTCAGAGGAGCCCTTTTGCACCTGATGTGTGGGGAAAGGGTTCATCTCTGGTCACCACACTCCTTCAGAACTTGCTCCCCAGTCAGACCAGGAATCCAGGAACTCCAGGGATCAGTGTTGTCCTGAGCTCTGAACCATAAAGTAACTGACATGTTACTCTTAAAATAAGCTAAACAGGAAAAATTGCATAACTTTGTCTTGAGCTTTTAAGGAGGACATTATTTGGGCTGACTGTTCTGAAGAAGAGCATTAGTCTTGTGGCTTCTAGTCTAGACAGGGAGGTAGAGAAACCTGGCTTGGGCTCCTGGGCCTTCCACAGTCTGGCAGAGACCTGTGGCACAAGGACTGGAAGACTTACCTCTGCAAATGAAACAAGTCTTAATTATTCAGTTCTTCAACTGATCACCAGGTGCTACTTAATTAGATTTCTTATAAGTCTGCTGAAAATAGGGCCAGTAGAGATTGCTGTACTGGGATTGTGGTGGATGAGGGATGGCTGAAGCACGTGCACACGAGTACACCTAAACAAAGCTTAAAAGCATGTGTTGAGCCATTTCCAGCAGAGATGTGTGTAACTGATTCTGTTATTTTCTTTTGTTGCTTGATTACACAACTTTGGATTTTTATTAGAACAGATATTATGCTCACTTTAGTGAAGACAAGTGTGCAGAGTGAAAACAGGCTGAACAAAAATGGTGCTATTCTAGCTTTGTGCCATCCTAGGTCGTTGTGAACTCCTAAGTGATTTTTTTCTCTCCTAGGTTAAGGGAAATACTGAAGAAAGCCTCTCTCCCTCCAGAGGATCCCGACACCCTGCTGTCAGTTACCTTGGCCATAGTTGAGACAGACTCCACAATAGTCTACTATAAAATGACTGATGGCTTTGTAATGTCAGATCCTCCTGATGATACCGAAGATGTGGATAATAAACAGTGGAGGAAGAAAAGAAAGAAACTTCTCAAATAAGTGGGGCAGAGAAAACAAAACGTTGCTTGAACTCCTGTGCTCAAACCCAAACAAATGCAGGAACTGATGTGTGTGGGTAAGTGGTGTGCTGAAGTCTGCCTTGGCATACCAAGGATGTGTTCAGGGAGAGCAGAGGCTTGTGCAGCTGCACTGTGATGAAATGCCATTTGAGGTATGCTTTGACACAGATTAGTCCTGGCTAATAAATATTCTTGGGAAGTGTTTGCAAAGCCTGTGTTTCCTCTCTATCTGGTCAGGCACATAACAGAATAAACACATCCTTACCCATACTGTAAATATTGGTTACAGGTAAGTCTGAAGGGCTTGTGGCAGGACTGAAGGGCTTTGTAGTTTACAGAGTGTCTTTGTCTTAGCCCTGTCAGAAGCACTCATGCTGCCCCCCAGGTTACATTTCTGAACTTTGCTTTTTTCCTTCTGCTTTTGGAGAAAAGCCTCTTCCAAGAAATACCTTATTTTAATTTTTTCCCCTACAGAGGAAAACTGATTAGAGCAGCACCAGAGGCAACTAAACCATCAAAGTATGTCACCATCTATGGGATCTGTAAGAGCACACCAGTTACCTGCTTCAGGCACCAACTAGGATTCTAAAACCATTGGCATTCCTAGGATTTATTTTGTCTTTGGACACAGCTTCTGCATAATGGAAGTGATTGCCCAGGAGGTGCTTAGCTTGGAGTTAAGACAAAAAAATCTGACTTTTAGTTACTTCTGCAGGAATTTTCCACGTCTTTTGCATGAAGATCTTCTCCAGGTTAAACTTAAGAGTTCCCTGGCATTCAAATAACATCCCAGAGCAGCTTCTTGAGCACAGGATTGTCTGTGTGACAGCTGTATGGCCAAGGATCAAATATTCAGAAGGTGAAGTACAAGAGTAGAAGAATGGGAGAGGATCTGAAAAACCAAGCTGGAAATGAAAGACAATTTAAGCATTGCTATCTCTGGGACTAGAGTGGGTGTTTCTGTTGCTGTGGAGCTTGATGCTAGTTTGGCCAGATGTGCTGGGTGGCAGAATGATCTTGCAGGGAGTCCTGCACACCCTTGGAGGAGGTGTGTCACTGTCACACAGCTCTGCAGGACACTTTTATCCCAATACAGCCAGGGCAGACTCACCCATCTGTGGGTTTCAGTCATGGAGAAAAAGAGTTTTTGCCTTTCTTAGCATTGCTCCCCTCGTGGAGGAAACCATTGTTTTCCTTTGGTGTGATGCTGTCCTGCCTTGAAGGGCGCCCTGTGTGCTGACTCGTGCCATGCTGCATGACCTTTATGTTGGTATTTCCTGGGATCCATGGCTTATTCCATGGAGCAGGTGTTACACCTGGCTAGGCTGCGTGCTAGGCTTGTCCTTGTTACAAGCTGGGAAGTACTTCAGCCCTGCAGGAAAAGAGCTGGTTTGTGTGAAGGAGGCTGTAACAGATGTGGCAGATCTGGTATTTAAGAGACACATGCTTAACCCTAAAAGCAAATTCCTTTGCATTTGCTTCAGTTTCTGGGAAATACTGCCAGTTTGCAGTTTGCATGACTGATGCTTGGCTTTACCTAAACTTCATTTTATCATTTCTGTTCACAGAAAGAAAAGCCTCATAACTTGAGCCTCCTTTTCTATACACTGAAAATTGCTGACCCAGCTTCATGGGTCAGATTGGAGAAACTGCGTCTGAAGGCTTTGATTTCTGTTTCTTCTTGTGTCCCACTGAGAAATGATTATATAGGCTTTTTTCCAGCCTCCTTAGATTATGGTGGCTTTATTTCTGAGGGGAAAAAAAACAGAGAAGAACTAATAATATCACAGCACTGTTTGTCCCATAGGTATTACAGTATAAACACAGGGATCTTAAATAACCTTGGAGCCAGCTGTGCTGCTCCTTTACATTCCACTGAAGTATTTCTCTCTGTCAAATCAACAACACACAGACTGAAGCCTCTGGTCTTCCAGGCATTGAATAAAGATGGGAAGAGACTTCCTGTAGAAGTATATCAGTTCAGAGCAGTAGCTCATTAACATTCCTGAATCCACAGCATCTTGGTCCTGTGCTCAAAGTGTTCGAGCATAACTCTGCTTTAAGTGTTTGTGAGACATCCATGGAAGTGTGAGAGCCATGACACTGCTGCCAATCCAGCACTTACTTCAGCCCAGAAGATTTTGCAGGCTCCATACTGCTGTCTTCTGGAGTTTTTTCAGGTTTTATTTCCAAGTGCAGCTTGATACGTTTCACTGAATGCCCCTGACCAACAGAAGGTGTTTGAAGATCTGGAGAGGATCATTTTGCAGTAGATTATTGTTCCAAGCCTTTCCTCTCTGCGGAGGGATGTTTGCATTGATGCTTCCCCACCGAGTCAAGAATGACAGAAAAGCAAAGGGCTGTTTTGGCCTGGCTTTGGCAGTGAGACTCTTACATAAGGAAGCCCTTGCTTATGCAGCCCGTGTCTCCTTGAGGCACTGCTGGCACCATCACCCACCTCTCCCGGATGCAGCCGCACTGTTTGCAGCGCACACAGAACATTTTGTGCAAATAAATGCTGGTGGAGAGGCAGGAGAGCCTTGTCACGTCCATGAGGAGGAGCTGTGCTGGTCAGCAGTGGCCAAGAGCTCCCACAGCCCTTTGTGAGCCCACCCTGAGCATCAGGGGCTGTTTGGGCAGCAGCTGCTCCCCTGGGAGTCTCCCAGGCCTTGTGGCTATGTGTGCTCTGGGCCAGTGCAGGAATCTGGCTCAGCATGCATCTCTGCTTCCAGGGCATGCTGGTATGGCAGCGAGGCAGAGGTCAGGTAAAGGGGTGTTGCTTCCACATCTTAAGCACAATCCCCCTCTATGAAGTGCCCCTCAGCATCTCTACAACACTTCAGTTTCTCAGAAATCAGGAAGGAAGGAAGGAAGGAAGATGTGGACTCTTGTAACCCATCCTTGATCTTGGCACAATTTTAGACAGGATCTCCTGCTGGGACACAGCAGTTAGATAATAACACTGCTACTGCTAAAGCTAAGCCATCTGAATCTTCCTCTTTTCTGTCAGCAAAAGCTTTTTTGTTTATTTTTTTCCTAATAAAGAATCCATATGAATTTATTAATTGGCCTACTAGTGTTGCAGAGCTATGGAAATCAGATGTTTAATAGCTTGTGCAAGTAGTTTTCAGCATATTTTAGTAGAATCTAAATGCTGTCAACTAGCCTGCAAGCACTGTTCTGTGTAAATGGACTACTTTTTAACCTTCTCTAATCCTCTAGGGCCAGGACCTGAGGGAAGGCCGGAGATCAGGAAGAGGTTCTTCCCCAGAGGGTGCTGGCACTGCCCAGGCTCCCCAGGGAATGGGCACAGCCCCAAGGCTGCCAAAGCTCCAGGAGAGTTTGGACAACGCTCCCAGGGATGCACAGGGTGGGACTGTTGGGGTGTCCTGAGCCAGGAGTTGGACTGGATGACTGATCCTTGTGACTCCCTTCCCACTCAGGATATTTCATGCTTCTAAAAATAGCTGCAGCTCCTATTTCAGAGTATCCAGGGAGCTGATAGCTTTTCCCTTTAATTCCCTCATTTCTCAGATGCCCCCACTGAGACTTCACTCAATTAATGATGCTCTGACTCCTGCTCAGCTCCATGCTGGGTGTTGTGTTTGTAGCACCTGACAGAATTCATTGCCTGATGCCTCCTTAGCCATTCTTTGCACCCCAACCTGGCTACATGCTTCTCCTCATGTATCTCACCTGGCCATCAAGCTCTCAGTGCCAAACTAGAATGGCTCTGCTCATCTTTTTCATTGCTTTTTTATTTCCCCTATTTCTCACTGCTGTAGTCATCTCAGCAAATTTCTTACTATTGTTCACTGCCCTCTTGACCCACATTTCATACTCTTAGTTACCCTCAAATTTATCTTTCCAGGCTATCTGGAAATACCTCTGTATTTCCAAGTTTGCTGTCTTTTGCTGGGGTGCCTGGATGATCTATTAAGAGCCATCTATGCCTTTCTCTGCTCCAATCCAGGGACCAGCTGATCCTCTCAATTCCACCAGACCAATGCCATTTACCAGTAAAAACTCGGGTAAATTCTGAAGCAAAGTCTTGTGAGCCCTGTGCCAATGTCCAGCCAACACAGATTCACAGAATATCCTGAGCTGGAAGGGACCCTCAGGATCATCCAGTTCAGCCCCCGGTCCTGCCCAGACACCCCAACAATCCCACCCTGTGCATCCCTGGGAGCGGTGTCCAAACCCTCCTGGAGCTCTGGCAGCCTCGGGGCCGTGCCCATTCCCTGGGGAGCCTGGGCAGTGCCAGCACCTCTGGGAAAGAGCCTTTCCCTGAGCTCCAGCCTGGCCCTGCCCTGGCACAGCTCCTGCCACTCCCTGGCTCCTGTCCCTGTCACAGGGAGCAGAGATCAAAAGCCCCTCTCTCCTGGAGAGCGCTGCCTGCAAAGGGCAGGGAGGCTGTCACCCTCCTTTCCATAATCCCAAATGGCCCCATTAACATCTGCCATGGATCTTCACTGGATAAATCTGCCAGCAGAGCCAGCTGGAACTGCTTTTAGTTCCTAAAACCAAAAGTCAGGTTGTGTCTGCACCAGAGGGCGCTTGGAGACTGCCAAGCCAGAGTCTTCCTCCTCTGGGAATGCTGGAGCTTTGCAGAACTGCCCTTACACACCACGCCTGCTTCTAAACAAAAAGAGCGGTGGGGGGGGAAAGCCCTGTCAGCAGAAACACCTGCCATGGCAATTCTTCCTACCTGAAGGAAATGGTATTACATAAACCTTCCTGGAGAGGGACTTTGGACAAGGGAATGTCATGACAGGACAAGGGGGATGGCTTTAAGTTGACAGAGGGCAGGATTAGATGGGATATTGGGAAGGAATTGTTCCCTGTGAGGGTGCCCAGAGAAGCTGTGGCTGCCCCTGGATCCCTGGCAGTGTCCAAGGCCAGGCTGGACAGAGCTTGGAGCAACCTGGGCTAGTGGAAGGTGTCCCTGCCTGTGGGAGGGGATAGCCCTGGATGAGCCTTTCAGGCCAAACAGTTCCAGGATTCCGTGAAGCAGCAGCTTCTGCGGAGGCTGCAGGAATGCAGATCATACAGGGGTATGCATACACCAATTGTTGCCCACTTCTCCATCTATTAGCAGAAACCCAAGATTTTGGGGTGTTTCAATCCCTCCTGACCATCTGGATCCTCTGCAGCAGATTTTTTTCATCCCAGAGCTTGAGGCAGGGTGTGAAGCAAGGGCAGCTTCACCA